TTGTTGAATATACCACAAGGGAATGGCAGGCAGGACAACAAAGCAGAGACAGTCTGCCAGTGAATGACTTCTTAAAATATATTGTTGGAATCAGTTTGATCGTATTTTGTTGAGGATTTTTGCATCTATGTTTATGAGAGATGTTGGCTTATAGTTCTCTCTTTGTGTGTGTGTGGTTTTTTTTTTTTTAATCTGGTTTTGGTATCAGGGTGATACTTGCCTCATAGAATAAATTTAAAGTTTTCCTTCCTTTTCTGTTTTTTTTTTTTTTTTGTAATAGTTTGAAAAGAATAAGTATTAACTTTTCTTTAAATGTTTTGTAGAATTTGTCTGTGATCTGTCTGTTCCTGGATTTTTGTTTGTTGGGAGATTTTTTGTTACCGATTCAACCTCCTTGCTGGTAATTGGTCTGTTCAAATTTTCTATTTCTTCCCATTTCAGTTCAAATTTTCTATTTCTTCCCATTTCAGTCTTGATAGGTTATATGTTTCTAGGAATTTATCCATTTCTTCTGGGCTGTCCAATTTGTTGGCATATAACTTTTTATAATATTATTTTACAACTGTATTTCTGTGGTGTTGGTTGTTATTTCTCCTCTTTCATCTGTGATTTTTGTATATTTGTGTCTTTTTTTTATGAGTCTGGCTAGAGGTTTGTCCACTTTTCTTGATATTTTCAAAGAACCAGCTCCTGGTTTCATTGATCTGTTCTATTGTTTTAAAGTTTCTATATCATTTGTTTCTGCTCTAATCTTTCTTATTTCCTTCCTTCTGCTGGTTTGGGGTTTTGTTTGTCATTCTTTTTCTAGCTTCTTTAGGTATAAGGTTAGTTTGTTTATTTGAGCTTTTTCTTCTTTCTTGAGTAAAGAAGGCTAGGCCTTTCTTGCTATAAACTTCACCCTTAGAACTGCTTTTGCTGCATCCCAAAGGTTTTGGACCATCATGTTTTAATTTTGGTTTGTTTCCAGGTACTTTTGATTTCTTCTTTGATTTCTTGGTTGACCCATTCATTATTTAGTAGCATGTAGTTGTGGTTGATTTCTAGTTTCATAGCTTTGTAGTCAGAATAGAAGCATGATATGACTTTGATCTTTTTGAATTTGCTGAGACTAGTGCTCGCTTCAGCAGCACATGTACTAAAACTGAATTTGCTGAGACTTGTTGTGACCTAATATGGGATCTTTCTGGAGAATGTTCCATGCGTACTTGAAAAGAATGTGTATTCTGCTGTTTTAGGATAGAATGCTTTGAATATATCTGTGAAATCCCTCTGGTCCGGCATGTCATTCAAAGCCATTGTTTCCTTATTGATTTTGTTTGGATGTTCTGTTCATCGATGGAAGTGGTGTGTTAAAGTCCTCTACTGTTTTATTACTATAGATTAGTTTCTTTATGTTTGTTATGAACTACCTTATGTATGTGGATGCTCACATGTTGGGTGTATAAGTATTTATAATTGTCATATTTTCTTGTTGGATTTTCCCCTTTATTATTATATAGGGTCCTTCTTTGTCTCTTGTTAGAGTCTCTCTCTTTTTTTTTTTTAAACATTCTTTCTCCTGATTCACTTTTATTCTTTTTAAAAGAAGATTTTATTTATTTGTTTGTTTGTTTATTTTAGAGAGAAGAAGAGACAGACAGAGTGCATGGGCATGAGCAAGGGGAGAAGCAGAGGGGGAGGAAGGGGAAAAAATCTTGAGCAGACTCTGTGCTGGGCAGGGAGCCTGACATGGAGCTCAGTCTCATGACCCTGAGATCATGACCTGAGCCAAAACCAAGCATCAGATGTTTAACTGACTGAGCCACCCAGGTGCACCCAGTCTTCATTTTAAAGTCTATTTTTATTTTATTTTATTTTATTTATTTATTTGACAGGCAGAGATCACAAGTAGGCAGAGAGGCAGGGAGAGAGAGAGAGGAGGAAGCAGGCTCCCTGCTGAGCAGAGAGCCCGACTCAGGGCTCGATCCCAGGACCCTGGGATCATGACCCGAGCTGAAGGCAGAGGCTTTAACCCACTGAGCCACCCAGGTGCCCCAAAGTCTATTTTTTCTGAAATAAGTATTGCTACTCTAGCTTTGTTTTGACATCCATTTGCAGAATAGATGTTTCTCCACTCTCTCACTTTTAATCTGCCAGTGTCTTTAGGTCTAAAAGGAGTCACTTGTACACAGCATATACATAGGTCTTTCCTTTTTAATCCATTCTGTGACCCTGTGCTTTTTAAAGTAGGCTGCATGCCCAGCATGGAGTCCAATGCAGGGCTTGAACTCAGGACCCTGAGATCAAGACCTGAGCTGAGATCAAGAGTTGGATGCTTGGGGTGCCTGGGTGGCTCAGCTGGCTCAGCGTCTAACTTCAGCTCAGGCCATGATCCCAAGGTCCTGGGATCAAGCCCCACATGGGGGTGGGGGAGTGTCCCTGCACAGCGGGGAGCCTGCTTCTCCCTCTCCCTCTACTACTCCCCCGCTCATGCTCTCTCTCAAATAAATAAATAAAATACTTAGGAAAAAAAAACAGTTGGAGGCTTAACTGACTGAGCCACCCAGGCACCCCACACCCTATGTCTTTTGTTTGGAATGTTTAGTCCATTTACATGCAAAGTAAATTATTATTATTATTATTATTTTTTAAAGATTTTATGTATTTATTTGACAGAGAGAGCACAAGCAAGGGGAGTGGCAGGCAGAGGTAAAAGGAGAAGCAGGCTCCCCACTGAGCAGGGAGCCTGATGGGGGGAGCTGAATCCCAGGACCAGGGGATTATGACCTGAGCCAAAGGCAGACGCCTAACTGACTGAGCCACTCAGTCGGTCCCTAAGTAATTATTGATAGATAGTATTTATAATTATTTTGTTACTTGTTTTGTGGTTGTTTGTCTCCGATCCTTTCTTCTCTTTCTCTGTTTCATGGTTTGCTGGTTTTCTTTAGTGATACACTTGGATGCCTTTCTCTTTTCTTTTTCTGTGTCTATTGGTGGTTTCTGATTTGCGGTTACTATTAGGTTTTTATATAACATCTTCTGCATATAACAGTCTCTGTTAAGTTGATGGTTGCTTAGGTTTGAGCTCTATGTTTTGAAACCAGTTTAATAAGTCCTTTCCTAAGAGCCCCTGAAGGGCTGCCCAGGTCTGGGAACCCTGAACCTTCAGTGTCTCTGAGACAACAGCTGGGGTTATAAACATATAGTTGGGAACTTTCTTGCAGAGTTTGTCGTATGTTGTTTTGTCAAAGAAGTCTAGGTTATTAAACTTGTTCTGGACTTTGCCTTTGGGCCACTTCCTTTCGGCCTGGATTTGTTCCCCGGGTCTTTGTCTTTCGTGGCCTACTTTCTGGCACTAAGATCACTTTATGTCCTTCAGTCACAGAGATAGCTTCAATTAATAATGTCTCATAGGAAGGTATTAAGTGCCTTCCAGTGGAAATTCTCTAGTTCAAGGTCCTCGGAGTAGTTGCTGGGAGGCGTTCACTGGTTTTTGCCGTAAGGCCCAATCTAAACTCCCTGTGGGGCTACTGCATTGTTTGTCCCCATCGGCGCTTGTGGACTAAGAAAGAATTCCCCGAGAATGTGAACAAAAAAGCATTTATTTGAGCAATTAGACTTGCGATTCGGGAGACACAGATTCAGGTAGAAATCTAAGTTATGTTCCAAGGAAAACAAAGAGAGGGGCAAAAGCCTTGCAGTGTAGCTCTCTTTCAGGTCCCCCAGGGAAAACGGGGCCCAAAACTAGGTTAACTGGGATTCGTTGGGTTCATAGGCACAGGAAGGATCGACAATTGTTAAATCATTTTGGCTCCTTTCAAAGTGAAGTTGGGGATGACTGGGGGACAGGGGCAGGAGGGGGCCCATGGTGAAAAGTTAAGCCCAGGCTGAGCGCTTGCAGCTGGCTGAAAAGTTCAAAAAAAGTTCATGGCTTCTTCAATGAGTATGTGCATAAATTCCTCCTCCCTGATGGCCTCCTGACCCTATTTTTAAAAGAGACTCTTATCTAGGCTGGCTCGCTGTATTCTGAAATCTCTTACACGCTCCAGCTCCCGTTCTGCACCATGGGCTCCGGCAATCTTACTGATTCCCATTGAGCATGTCCAATTAACATTGCTTTGAAGGGCAGGCTTCCATGCCTTCTGGGTCACGCTGTTGGGCAGAGGAAACATTCCCCAGTCAGTTACAGTGTCCATCTCCACAATACAATTAGATTAAAAAAAAAAAAATGCAACCACTTCACATAAAGCCTCTTCAAACACAGCAATTCCCCTACAAACTTTCACCTTAATTTTATCAGCCTTTAGGTAGGAGTGGAAAAGTTCTCCCTTCTCCCCTTCTTGTTTCTTTGGCTGGTCTGATAAGTAAATTAATACAAGACCAATCAAGAGGAGAAAAACACAAGTTTAATTACCTGTATACCTCCCTTATACATGGGACAGACCAGGAAAACTGAGTAACTCCCTGCCCCCCCCCAAAAAAGATCAAAGCTATCCCTTTAAATACCACCTTGAGCTAAAGACAAAAGAAACAGAGCACAGGATACTTTGGTATAGGGTTCTTTTTTTTTTTTTTTTAAGATTTTATTTATTTAACAGAGAGAGAAAGAGATCACAAGCAGGCAGAGAGGTAGGGGAGCAGGCTCCCTGCTGAGCAGAGAGCCCGATGCGGGGCTCGATCCCAGGACCCTGAGATCATGACCTGAGCTTAAGGCAGAGGCTTAACCCTCTGAGCCATCCAGGCGCCCCTAGTGTAGGGTTCTTATGCACAGTTAAGTCACCGTCTTCTCTGTGGATAAGAATTTCTAGAGATTGAGGGGCTCCCTGCTCAGCGGGAAGCCTGCTTCTCCTCTCCCTCTCCCCCTGCTTGTGTTACCTCTCTCGCTGTCAAATAAATAAAAAAAATCTTAAAAAAAAAAAAAAAAGAATTTCTAGAGATTGAGTCATAACCCTTGTCCTGGTAAGGTAACAAAGACTCTTTTGCAAATGGATATTTCCCTTATACATGTAAATGTCTCTTACCAAATGTAACCTCTATTCAATTTTCAGAGTTTCACCTGTGTTTGCTGTTTCTTGAAAGTAAGCAGCTTAAAATAATCCCCATGCCAAAGAAGCACATTTTGGGGTGGAAAAGCATGCTCCCCTTCGCTTGCATTTCTAACCGTAGCCTCCATTAAGACTTCTTCCTTAGGTTTTGGTACTACAGCTCTGTATCTGTACGGCTTCTGTTTCAAGGAGTCTTAGAAACTTCTCCGTCCCCCGACCATTTGATCTACTCTGGTGCTAAAGGCCTTTGGCTCCTCAGAGACGGACCCAGCCACAGGACTCTGGCCCTTTTGTCAACTTTTTTTTTTTTTTTTTAAGATGTTATTTTTCAGTAATCTCTATGCCCAACGTGGGGCTTGAGCTCACAAACCCCAGATATAGTTGCAGGCTCCAGTGACCAAGCCAGCCAGGCATCCCCCCACTGGCCCCAGGGCTTTTGTCAACTTTTAACTTGATTAATTTGCCTAACCATTGATCCATGGGATTGCTGGTCAGGTTTCTTATAGGAATCTCTACCTCCTGACTTTTCAAATTGCTTCTAACTGGGGTAAATAAAGCAGAATTGTTTGAGGACCTTTGATATTGGGACACTTGCGGTGGTGGTGGGGGCGGTCCCTTCCGCCCACCCAACCTTTGGTAATAGCTTTGGTATTGCTACCTTCGGTAGTGCTGTATTAAAACCTCTGCTTTAACCCCCTCAATGTCTGTTTCATTCATCCCATCTCTTACTAACCATCTAAAGATTTCCACCCTGCTGGGACAAATCCCGTGACTCTCCCCCGTTTTGCTCCTAAATTATTTGCTTTCTTCACCCCACTTCTAAACAACTGTTAAAAAATTTTCCACCTGGTGGGGGAAGAGTCCTCGGATTGTGCCCTCGGAATCTCCCCCATTCACTTGTTAATGACCCTAATGATCATTAGCATGTGTAAGACCCGGGAGGGGAAGCTGAGACTCCAAATTCAATAAGGCTTCCGGAGCTGTTTTTCAGTTCTGCCACAATAAGGTTGTCTGCGGTGCCCCGTGAAAGGGGGCCCCTTAATCACAGCATTTATCTTGACCTGGGGAGTGAGCTGCGAGTCCTGGATCAAACCAGACATGCTCTTCCGCTCGGCAGTACTCAAAGACCACGGACGCAGCTCCTAAGGAAATGATTCTCATAATTCATTTTGGTAAAGGCTCTTCTGGAGGCTGAGGGCACCCCGATCTACAAAAGGAAACAACCCCCTCTCCCTCCAACCCCCTCCCCCCAGTTTCAGTCGTTTCCCGGCTTTGCCCATCCCCCACCTGGGTTTTTACCTTGGGGGCGGCTTTGAGGCCGGCGGCTGAAGCTTAGACTGAAATCTGAGCTTGGGCTAGCACCAGAGCCCGAGCCGCATTCTCTCGGACTTTTTGTTTAGCTAGTACAGATGACAATCACAAAGGGATTGAAGATTTGGCCTTTTACTACTTCGCTTTCTTCTTAGCTTCTCATTCTTTCCTTATGCATTCAGTGAACCAACCGCCTGCGAGTTGGATGCATTTTTAAATTTCATTGGTAATTTTTATCGTTTGTAACTGAGCACCGCATAGCTGCGGCTCTAAACCTTAAGTGACCACGTGGCCACCCCGGAATCAAACCTGCCTCATCCCCACCCCTACCCCCTTATCCTTCCCTCTCCAAACCACTTGTTTCTAGTAGCCAAGGGCCATTCTTAGCAAATCCCACGTATCTGGTACCAAACTACGTTGGGGTCCTGGACCCAATTCCAATGCGGGGGGCGGGGGGGCTTCTGACACCACAGCGGGCAATTCTGGTTCCGTTTACCCGGAGATGGCCCCAGGCTCTGCAGATTAAGGGTTCAGTCCTACAAGACTCCCCCCACCCCCACCCCGCCGCCCTCGCCCCAGCCCGCCACAGACACACTTCAGATGGCAGTCACAAGCTCAGATTACCTGTACTTCTGACCATCTGGCTACAAACCAGAGATTCTCACGACCCCTCCTTAGGCTCCATTAATTTGCTAGAGCAGGTCACATAACTCAGGAACATTTTTGTTACTAGAGTACCAGCGTTTAAAAGAAAGCCACCGGCTCCAAATTGTATCCCATAGGGTTACGACCCCAAGTCAGTAAACCAAGACTTAATACCTAACCCTAACTGCAGTTTCAACCCCCTGGTAATGTAACCTTTAACCAGTCAACCTGGGAATTTCCTGGTCAGCAATAGGAAATGTACTGAGAGACTCCTTCCATCCCCCGAAGGCAGGTGACCTTGCCTAAAACCATGGAGTCTTTGCTAATAATTTCCTTTTTCCCACTCCCTCTCTATCTTTGAAGACTTTTCCGTTTCTGTAGTCCCTCGGACTTGCTAGACGGGTTGCTGTCCAATTCAGGAGTCAATTAGTAAAGCCAATTAGATCTTCAAAATGTACTTGGTTGAATGTTTTTTTTTTAATTTTTTGTTATTTATTTAAAAGATTTTATTTATTTGTTTGAGAGAGAGAGAGAGAACGAGCTGAGAGAGGGCAGAGGGAGAGGGAGAAGCAGGCTCCCCGCTGAGCAGGAAGCCCAAAGCCAAAGCCAAAGCAGGCCTCGATCCCAGGATCCTGGGATCATGACTGGAGCCGAAGGCAGACGCTTAACTGACGGAGCCACCCACACGTCCCTTTGTTGTCATTTTTACTGAGAGCTTTTTTTTATTTTTTAACTTAAAAAATTGGGATATAGTTGACATATAACATTGTGTAAGTTTAAGGTGGATAATGTGTTGATTTGATACATTTATATATTGCAGTATGATCACTCCTGTAACATTAGCTAATACCTCCATCCTGTCGCAGTTACCCTTTCTTTCTTTATGGTGAGAACATTTAAGATCTACTCTCCTAGCAGTATTCAAGGATATTGATGTGGGGAACAGAGGCAAAAGAAAAAAAATAAATTTCTTTCCTACTTACAGCCCACTGACAAGTCCTTGAGACAGGCAGAGTGACCTTCCTCTAGGTTAATAGTTAGCTAAGGGCAAAAATCACCTTAGCATCATCCCAACCCCCCAGGATCCTGTAAATCTTCTTAACAGAAAAATTCCTTTGGAAACTTCCTTTATCTCTACCCCCTAAGATGTATCTTAGCAGTCATCCTCCAAGCATAGGCTCGCCGATATCCATCTGAAGGGTCTCATGACTAAGGTTGAACTAGACAGTAGTAAATGACCTTATCTTCAACAGCGGCCCCTCAAGGTCCAGCAAACCTTGCTTCCAAATTCCTTAGAGACTTACACTATTCCTAACTCCCTCCCAACTTGAAAGTGTAAAATCAGCCACTCCTCACAACCCCAGTGCAGCTCTTTCTGCCCATGGGGCCTGTCGCCATGCTTTAATAAAACCACCTTTTTGCACGGAAGACATCTCAAGAATTCTTGCTTGACCTTTCACTCCTGAATCCCCGAATTTTCACATCAGATATGATACCCTTAGCTATATTCATCACGCTGTGCATTAGATACCCAGAACTTATTTATCTAAGAGTTGCAGGTTTGTCCCCTTAAACAACATCTCCCCAACTCCCTCACCCAATCTGCTATCATTTAAATGGGTGTTCCCCTAGAGCTAAGGCTTTGTTTCTCTCTGGTTGCTTTCAACGTATTTTCATTGTCTTTAGTTTTCAAAAGCTTAATTATGATATATCTTGATGTGAATTTGGGGTGGGTTTATCCCATTGAGATTGCCTCAGCTCCTTGGATCTGTAGGTTTGTGTCTTTTGACAGATTTGGAACATTTCGGCAGTTATTCAAGTGTTCTTTTGGCCTTGCTTTTTGTCACCCTTCTGGAACATCTGTGATATGAATGCTAGGTGCTTTTTTTTTTTTTTTAAGATTTTATTTATTTATTTGTTAGAGAGAGAGAGAGAGAGAGAGAGCGAGCACGCAAACACAGGCAGACAGAGTGGCAGGCAGAGGAAGAGGGAGAAGCAGGCTCCCTGTCGAGCAAGGAGCCTGATGTGGGACTCGATCCCAGGACACTGGGAACATGACCTGAGCCTAAGGCAGCTGCTTAACCCGCTGAGCCACCCAGGCATCCTGAATGCTAGGTGTTTTGTTACTGTTTCTCACTTCAGTATTTCCTTCCTTCCTTCCTTCCTTCCTTTCTCTCTCTCTCTCTCTCTTTCTTCCTTTCTTCTTGTAATTGACAGAGAGAGAGAGAATGAGAGAGAACACAAGTAGGGGGAGTGGGAGAGGGAGAAGCAGTCTGCTCACTTAGCAGGGAGCACAGTGCGGGATCATGACCTGAGCTGAAGACAGATGCTTCAGGACTGAGTCACCCCGGTCTCCCATCAGTTCAATATTTTCAATCAGTTTTCTCTCTGTTGTTCAGATTGGGTTAATTCTATTGATTAGTTTTCAAATTTATTGATTCTATATTCTGTCATCTCCACTCTACTATTGAGGCCATGGTGGTGGGGGGCAGGGGGGTGGGGAGGACAAGAAGCCCCAAAATGGAGTCATCTGTGCTAAACTCATATCACCAAATAGAGACTTAGTTCCTAACCTAACTGCAGTTTCAGTCTCTCCCAGGAATGTAATATAAAACAGTCTAGAATTTCCTGGTCAGCACTAATGAGGTAATTACTTGTAGACCTCCATCACCCCTCAAAGGAAGGTGACCTTGCCTGAAACAATTCACTCCTTGCTAGTAACTTCCTCGTTCTGCCTTCTTCTACCTATAAAAATCTAATGTTTTGTACAGCTCCTCAGAGCTGTTTTTTATTGCATAGATGGGATACTGCTAGATTCATTAATGATTGAATAAAGCCAATTAGAGGTTTAAAGGTACTCAGTTCAATTTTGTTCTTTAAAAAGCCCATCCAGTGAGATTTTTATTTCTTTTATTGCATTTTTCAGTTCTATAATTGCCATTGGATTTAAAACAACAACTTCTATTTCTTTGCTGAGATTTTTCTTGTTTTTTCATTTGTTCCATGAGAACTTGCAGATTTTATAACTGT